TTTCATGTAGCATTGCATGCTAGTTTATTCGCTTTCTTAGTTAATTTGTTGATTAATTAGAATTGTGTAATAATTAGCTGTAGCTGTTATTCATTTCGGTTCTGTATTATTTATTCGGACCCTCCGAGGAGAGCAATGTTGTAATAAGTGTGTGTGTGTGCGTGATGTATGTCTTCCAACCCCACGTCTTTGTCCCTTTTATTTACCAGCTTATGATGGTTAGTTTTAGGGCATGTTTCAATTAGCATACTTATGCTCGCATGTTTGCATCCATTTATCTATTTTGCATGCATCAGGCTCGGCACATCATACTAACTGCATTGTATTTCAATTCCGAGTTGAATCCGTGTATCAGTTGTTGCATTTCATATACCATTTTAGAATAGCCGAGCCTATCTTAGTTGCATTTTTGCATGTGTTGCATTAGGCATTTTAACATAATTAGGATTCATGCATGATTTCTAATTAGCTTCTTTCTTTGGCTTGGAGTACTAAGTAAGTATTTATGCTTTAGCATCCTTGCATGCGTGTGAGTGACTGCCATGATAGCATGCTTACTATGAGGCTATTTGCTTATGTGATATACCTGCCTGAATGCCTATGGGTGAAGGTTGGATTATCTGAATTGGAACAATTCATTGATTGCGAGTTTTAAGCCCACTTGAGAGTGGCAAATCACCATATTTTTCTAAGCTCAATTGAGGGTGGCAAAATCCACGTCTTAGCCTACTTGTGAGTAGCACCATCAAATTATCTTTCAAATAAACAAACATGAAATGCTTTGTTCCAACTCAAACGATCCAGTCTATACTTGTATGCTGTGCGCATCACATAGTAATTCTAGGCTAATAAACCGGAATAAGAGCACATAATGTTTTCAAAACTCGGTATCATGGTTAGTAGAGGTCGATCTTTGATCGAGCGAGAGGGGGTGCTCACGAAGTGACCTTCCCCAATCGTACCCAAGTTCCCGAGCCGAGGCAACTTTGGTGATGACGGACACGTGGCCTTAGGCACGAGTCAGGGTTTCCTAAATTCCCCCGAAATAAAATATTTAGGTGGCGACTCTGTATCTGGCAAAGCAGTCCATGTTTGGCACTTCTTTCTAAAAATCAGTTTTTCAAAACAATTTGCCGGATTTGGACTCTTTGATGATTCATCGGTCTTACATTGCACTCCGCGAGATTAGATACAGGACCGTGACATTGAGTCCAAACTGTAGTAAGCCCAAATGAACAAAATGGGATTCCCTCCCGGGACGTTCGGGGACGTCTACAGGTACTTTATTAAGTATATAATTAGCAGAAAGTATTGCTTCCCCCCACAAGTTCTGAGGTAATCCAGAACTGATTAACATGGCGTTCATCATTTCTTTTAAAGTCTTATTTTTCCTTTCAGCAATTCCATTTTGCTGCGGTGAGTAAGGAGCTGTAGTTTAATAAATTATTCCATGTTCTTTACAAAATTCACCAAAAGGTGATTCATATTCACCACCTCTATCACTTCTAAGTTTCTTGATTTTCTTTCCAAGTTGATTTTCAACTTCATTCTTATATTGAATGAAAGTTTCCAAAGCTTCATCCTTCGTTTGAATTAAATAAACATAACTATATCTAGTATAGTCATCTATAAAAGTGATAAAAAAACTTTTTCCCACCTCTAGTTTGAATTGATTTAAAATCACAAATGTCACTATGAATTAGTTCTAGTGGTTCCATACTTCTTTCAATTGAATGAAAAAGAGTTTTAGATAATTTTGCCTCAACGCAAATTTCACATTTATGATTTGAATCAATGTCAAATTTAGGAAAACATTTCATATTAATTAATCTACGCAAAGATCCATAATTAACATGTCCTAGTCTACCATGCCATAAATTTGAAGACTCAAGCAAGTAAGAAGAAGATGTATTATTATTAATAACTGAGGGTACAACGGTCATTACATTTAACTTGAAAAGATCATCAGACATGTAACATTTTCCTACATACATCCTATTCTTAGTAAGTACAAATATATCACTCTCAAATACTAGCCTAAACCCATTCTTACTCAACAAAGATCCGGAAACAAGATTCTTGCGAATGTCCGGTACATGCAGCACATTGTTGAGAGTGAGTTCCTTTCCAGATGTCATCTTGAGTACAATCTTTCCTTGTCCTTCAACTTTGGAAGTTGAGGAGTTGCCCATAAAAAGTTGTTCACCATTGTCCACTGTAGAATAAGATGTGAACATCTTTTTGTCGGCACAAATATGGCGAGTAGCACCCGTGTCCACCCACCATTCTTTAGGATTTCCGACAAGATTTGCCTCAGAAACAACTGCAGAAAGATTGATATCATCTATTCCATTGGAAATATTATCCACTTCGGGCATATGGGCTTGAGCAGGCTTCTTGCTTGTTCTTCTTTTGCTTTTGCTTTTGCTTTTGCTACGGCAATCTTTGGCCCGATGTCCCTCTTTGTCACAGATGTAACATTTGCAATTAAATTTGTACCTTCTCTTTTATTGATTAAACTATTCAAATAGTTTAATAATATTTTTCCAAACAGTTAGTACACACTGTTCCACTTAATGGCTTGTTTGATAAAACAATTTAAATAGTTTAATAATAAAATATTTCCAACAGTTTTGCACTTGGTTTCTAACGGTACATTTTTCAAAGTTTGAAAAATTGTTTCTAGCAACGGTCAGTTCCTTTTTTTCAAACTGTACCTGTTCCTTTCGTTTCTTGGTATTTGAAGCATGTTCCACCACATTTGCCTTAGACTCTATAGAATGCTTACCAGCCCGGCTTTTAGAATTCCTGTTGTCCTCCTCAATCCTCAAACGCACAATTAATTCGTCCATAGAAATTTCTTTGCGCTTGTGTTTGAGGTAGTTCTTGAATTCATTCCAGCCTTTTGGTAATTTTTCAATTAAGGCTACAACTTGGAAGGATTCACTGAGAGACATGCCTTCTGCGTGAATATCATGCAGAATGAGTTGGAAATCTTGAGCTTGGCTGATCACAGTTTTTGAATCAACCATTACAAAATCCAGGAATCTGCCTACTACAAATTTCTTTGAGCCGGCATCTTCCGTTTTGTATTTTTTCTCCAAAGACTCCCAAAGTTCCTTTGCTATCTTGATAAGACTATAGACGTTGTATAATGTGTTGTCAAGTCCGTTCAACATGTAGTTCCAGCAAAGGAAACCGGCATGTTTCCAAGCATCAACCGCAGCAACCACTTGCCGGTCGGTTTCATCCTCTTTCAGGATAGGAGCATCTTCACAGAGGAAACGAGCCAGGTTCAGAGTTGTAAGATAGAACAACATTTTCTGTTGCCATCTTTTAAAGTCAGTTCCTGAGAACTTCTCTGGCTTCTCTCCATGATTTATTGGTACTGTCACCACAAGAGAGGGGGTTGGTGTAATTGCAGCCACCATAGTAGTACTTGTTTGGGCATTAGTTTCAGTAGCCATCAATTCTAATTTACAAAACAAAATTATAATTAGAATTTACACTACACAGAAAATTAAACCAAATTCACAGAATTAAATTCTGTAAAAATAAAAAAACAAGAATGTAACTTTTATTTTCCAATTAATTTGGAAATAAAATAAAATTTTATTCAACCAAATTAATTCCACACAGGAAATTAAATTCTGTAAAATAAAAGAAATAAGAAAATAACTTTTATTTTTCAATTAATTTGGAAATAAAATAAAATTTTATTCAACAAAATTAATTTCACACAGAAACTTAAATCTGTTGTAACACTCCAATAATTAAAATACTGAAACAGAATTTTAATTAATGAACACTCAAAAATTATTTCTGAAAACCAAAATTTAATTTCTAACAAACTTCACAAATAAATATTTTGAATTGTTAATAACACTAGTATATTACTACTAGTTGTCGAAGAAAATAGACAGTATATTACTACTATCTGTTAAATAGTATATTACTACTATTTTTTTTTCCAACCAGAATATTATTTTGTAAATCCACAGAAAATAATTTTCTTAAAAGAAGAAAGAGAAAAGGAAACAAACGAAAAAATTATGTAAACAGAATAAATTCGAATCTATCTTAAGATTGTTGGAACAATCTTCTGTATAAATAAAATAAATAAATAAATAGAAACAAAGCCAAACAAAATAAAATAAAACTTACAGAATTTATTTTGTTGAACTGAATTTAAAAATCAAAAGACCAAGTCGAGTATGTGACACTCTGTCCTTAAGACAGATTCGCCCCGCTACGGTGCTTACGGTTATGTGGTGTTTATCTCCCAGGATACAATGATCTTCACAATATTGTTGTAGCACACCAAACAAAATTGTACGGCGAACCAAACCTTGTGTTCTTACTCTCTGAATTTAATTCTAAAACTAAAAATGAAGAAATAATGTAAATAGGAAAATCTGGACAGCAAAGGCACTATGCAGACTAATTTTCGGATCGTTTAGACTGCTGGAAATGTATCTATATTTATAGGCAAAAAATTAGAGCCGAAAAGGTTCCAAAGTTTGAAGTGAAAAGGTGCACCAAAGAGTTGAACAGGAAAACCAACTATTCAAAGTTGTTTTGACCGTTGCAAGACCAAAATTTCAAACAATCCTGACCGTTGCTTTGAACACATATTCAAACAATTTGAAAAGAAAAGATCCGTTGGAATTACAGGTGGAACAATTCCTAAACAAATGGAATACTTATATTAAACTATTTGAATAGTTTAATCATTTTTTAGGAAACCACTTTAGGAAATCAAAAATGAATTTATATTTAAATTAAATTTAAATTTAGAATTAAATTAAAATCCCACAATTACAAACTTTAAGAAACCACTTAGGAACCCAAAATTTGAATTTATAATTAAATTAAATTTCCACAATAATTTTTATTGAAAAAATTCAAATGAATTTTATCTAAAAAATTAATGTTAGACCCGAAAACGACGTCAATTACCCATTCACTCATAAATGGTTTTGACATTCTGTCTTCACCGTGTGACTTGCCACGCGACAAGGAACACTTCACCTCTTCGGACCCACCCCAAAAGACGTTTGGGGCCTACTCAAATTTGGGCTAAAAAATATGCCTATATTAAACCATTTTTCCAACATTTCCATCTCATAAGTGAATAAGATTGCATTCACCCTAGGTGCACATCTGTGAATACAACAGTTCAGAATAGCAGAGAATCCACAAGAAATAGAAAAATGACTCAACTTCACAAAATAACCTTAATATATGGCTTTGGATCACTTATTCTTGGATCTATGGCATCATCTCTTTTGTTTGGTTGATGTCCAATGGGTGGCTCCAGGATCTTGTCTAGTAAAAGTAATGGTTTCAATGGATTTTTGGGACTTTGGAGGTACGATGAAAGCAAAAGTGATGTGTCATTGTGTTGTCTTCTCAATTTTTGGGTGATTTGGTTGGAAATGAATGCAAGGATCTTCGAGGACGAATTTGATGATACAGCATCTATACGGGATAGAGTATGTCATTTAGCATTGTTTTGGACTTCCATTTCGACTCCTTTTAAGGGGATTTCATTTTATTATTATTATATTTTATTTGTAGAGATTGAAAAGTGATATGTGATGATTAAATTGTTTTTTAGTTTTGGTGATTGACGGTTTCTCTTCTATTGTAGAGGACATCTTGTCCTCTTTTTGTACTCTTTCTTTTTTAATAAAATGTCCTTTTGTTGCCAATCAAACAAAAAAAAAAAAAAAAAAAGAAAGGAATCTTGGAAGAGACAGACTTCAAAACAATAAGGAGGGAATGTGTTTACCTTGACATGCGTGGAATGATTAACTTTATCGTTGGGATAAGGAATCGCATCATGAAGCATGCCTAGGTTTCTTAACCTTCGCCATGTTTTCCGTAAAAAAATAACATTAAGCAAATTATGTGTTACAAGGGAAAAAATAAAAAATAGGTGATTGAATATTAAACAAGAAGAAATGAATGAGTCTTCACTAAGATAATAATGGAAAGTCAAAGTTGCAAAAAAATGCTGTTGTATCTTCATTTCTTTATTTTAATTGGAAAAGAAGACAGATTTTTTGTTTCACTTGCAAGCACTATTGGTTTGATATTTGCTTATTTCCACAAATCTTTAGACCAATTGAAGTGGCAATCAGTCACCAATCCCACATGGGTTTAAACAAGAATTTTATTTTATTTTAACTTTTTTACATTCGAAATATATGATTTAACCAGGCTAGACATGAGATATTTCTCATAAATCTCAATAGGGCTGTGAGGGACTTAGTTGCACACCTATACTATTATCCCATACCTTGATGAAATAAAAAAATCACGAACAAATTTTTTTTTTTTTTAAGAAGAAAAACAACAAACAAACAAACAAACAAACAAACAAAGCAAAATAATACATAGGATCCAGTTAAAAGCCACTAGACTATCTTCCAGGTAATCAAAAGGTCAGGATACCTGCGAGAAACACAGAAGGTATTTTGAAGCTAAGATTCCACAACTTGCATTTTTCATTCTTTCAATTGTGGGAAAAATGATTTTAATGGATGGGTTTCTTATCTCTTGACTTGTACTCCAGCAGCCCCACTGTAAACACCAATAATGAATGAATGAACTACTAAATCCAAAGATTATAGTATTTCAGATTTTGACTCATGCTACACGAACTGCAAATAGTAAAAGTTTCTTACATCTGGATCAGACTCCTCAGACTCAGAGAACTGCACTGATGTCTTTCCAGATGCTGCTGAAAAATACAGCCAAAAACTGTGCAGTGACCGACCCAATTGAAGATGAACCTTGACAATAGAACAGATAAGTAAACTGAGAAATATATTTCAAATTTCTGGAAAAGAGTCCAAGATTATACAAGAAAACACTCACTGAAAACAAAATCAGTTTCCAAATATTCTAGCCATTTGTAGCGACTTAAAACCTGATACAAACAAAAGAAACAAAAAGAAGATAAATGTCAAACTTAAGGGAACAAAAGTACAAGATGACTGTTTCGAGGACAGGAACAAATACATTCTAATCAAATTGGATTTTTTGAAGGAGAACTGGTAGCTTCAACAAGATTCAGATTGAACTTTTGCTAACCTCTAATCCATAATCCCAATATTTAGCACTTCCATTTTTTCCTTCTTAGTTAAGAATATTAAACTTAAGTAGTCACCAATTTAAGGTGCTTTTGCTTGCTCAAGTAATTTCTTAGCACATTTTCTCGTTACTTACCATGAAGAGGCACATAAAAATCTGATGGAAACTTTAATGTTAAAAATAAGAGAAATCTTAATATTGTGAAGCGAAGTCCCCTATTGCTTGGGTACTATAGTAATGTGAAGTATATAAGTGTGAGGTCACTCTCACCTCAATAGCTAGTTTTTAGTTTGAGTTTTACCCAAGACCGTGTAACAAATACCCTTTTGCTAAACAGAAAAAAAACATAAATAAATAAATAAGAGAAGTTTTACAAACTAATCTATATTTTATTAACAATTTTTAAAACATAAAATGAGTTGTGCAATCATAAACATGTAAATATATGCAAATCCAAAACTTCCAACAACAAAGTGTTGAATTAACACTTAACTAACACATTAAAAACTGTGTACAAGAGATGTGGGAGCATGGAGGGCCATGGTCCCCTAGGATCTAAATGTTCCACGTTCTCCCAGTTGCATTTAAGGACTCCTCCATAAATTACATAAATGGCCCCAAAACAAGACAATATATAGTTTTCCAATGCAGCCCTCCCAATCACAAATCTCACCACAGTTGAATGCTCCTATATAGTAAAGGAAAAACTATAATCTCATGCTACACGAACTGAAAATAGTAAAAGTTTCTTACATCTAGATCGAACTCCTCAAACTCAAAGAACTGCACTGATGTCTTTACAAACGTTGCTGAAAATTCAACTAAAAACTAGGCAGTGACTGACCCAATTGGTGATGAATCATGACAATGGAACAAGTAAGTAAACTGAGAAATATATTTCAAATTTTTTTAGAAGAGTCTAGTATTATACAAGAAAACACTTACCGAAAACAAAATCAGTTTCCAAATATTCTAGCCATTTGTAATGTCTTAAAACCTGATACAAACAAAAGAAACAAAAAGAAGATAAGAATCAAACTTAAGCGAACAAAAGGATAAGATGGTTGTTTTGAGGACAGGAACAAAAGGATAAGATGGCTTTTCCCAGTTGCATTTGAGGAAACCTCCAAAAACTACATAGGTGGCCCCAAAACAATATAGTATATGATTTAGTTTTCCAATGCAGCCCTCCCAATCACAAATCTCACCACAGTTGAATGTTATATAGTAAAGGAAAAACTATAATCTCACAAACTTCATTACTATTACCTCTTGAAGTCGCCATAGGCCTGTAGACCTCTGAATTCAATTGATGCAACTAACAAACATATTGAAGGAACATGTTCAGATTGCACTGCTTTTGATATATCTGAAAAGGCAGGTCCCTGCACAAGATAACACTACCAAAACTTGGCATAATCATACTATCATAGTAAATAAGCAGCACAGTCTGCACTATAGGAAAGGATCCTGTATATGACTTAAACATCACACTTGTGACACATACAGTATCATTTGCACTATGTTGATGCTTCCTTCTAAAGCAGTCAAAAGGACGTCTTTTGGATAAACATATCCAGAAAACCTGAATAAGCCACTATCGGATAAAGAAGCAACCCACTTTGCAATATTTCTTGGTAGAAACCCAAGTTGAACGCAATCTAGTGCAAGGAGTGAAGCAAACAATTAAAATGCAGTAGTAACAGCACAATACCACATAGCTACACACGCATATGGAGAAACAGATCAACTTCCAATAAATGCAAATTTAAAGCATCACATTAGCAAGAAATGCAACATGGAAGCACCTTGTAGTGCCACAAATGAGGACTTACATTTAGGAACCACTTTTGGGATCGAAAGGAAAACCTCAGTCAGGGCAAAGAAGCTAATGGCAAGCACTTTTAATGGATTTGGAATAGAAAATTAATTCATGTTTACTTATGTAACACTGCTTTAACCATGCTAGTGTTCTGCTTAATATCTCTTGTGCTCTTGACAACATTACTTCAGAAATATGAGGGTTGTTATAAAATCCACTTCCCCCCCAAAAACAAAAAGCCTAATACTGATTTAGAGTTCATATTCTACACCACTAATGTGATACCCCTATCCCGTAATATTTTAATTGGTCCTTAATTTGAGTATGATTATGTGTTTACCATGATTTTGTGTGCCATTATGTGATTTTGAAGTTTTATCTGTTCACCGTAGGAATATCTGTTTGAATAATTAGCTTTGGAAATTTCATTGAGGGCCTTATCGGCCACAGAACCCGAAATTGATTACGCCATTGTTATTGGCATAATTTTTAGAGCTTACGGTGAAATTTAATTGAAAGACTGATTCGGGCCAGATTAAATTGATTAATTAACGAATTGGTGCTCCAATATGTGATATTAACTTAATGGGGCTTAGTGGGGTTATATGGGACCCTTATGCATTCAACTCCCTCCTTTTATTTCATTTTTGGGGCTGATTAAACTCTCTAGAGGAGGATTGACCCGAACTTGAGAGAGAGAGGGGAGGAAATCAAAGTTTTGCTCTTAAATCTTGGAAGTCTTGAAGGCAACTCTAGACTTGACCATAAATTGGAAGAATTGAGCCTCTAGGTAAGCATTGATTCTTGAATCCATGAGTTAATGTGTAATCTTGTGTGTTCAAGAGTTGTGGTGATCAATAGCATGATTTGAGCTGGTTTTATTGAAATTGAGGCTTGATATGTGCATGCATGTAGAGAATTCCTATGGAATCACAAAATCTAGCATGTAATTTGTGAAATTGTGAAAGATTGGTAGTGTAATCCCACATGCAAGCATGTCTTTGTTGAATCTTATAGCAATGAGCACTAAGTACATTATTTGAAATGAATGTGAAGTCAAAATGGGCATGCATGTACAAAACATGGGGGTATAAGTCTTGAATGTTTGAATTTGAGCATGTTGGTGATGGGTTTGAGATATTTTGGGACATGCATGTAGATAAATCATGAAATTGAGCTTCCTGATGTTGTAATCTTGTATTAGCAGCATGTTAGCATGTGTAAATGTGTAATTTGGGCCATAACATGCATGAATTGTTGGTTGAAAGTCGAAATGAAGCTCAGGAACACAGTTCTGGGTTTTCCAGAATTTTGAGTTCCGCTCGAGCGGGGAACCTGACGCTCGAGCGGGAAATGCGGGCTCCCAGTACCTTTTTGCAGACTTGATGTCCGCTCAAGCGGGATAATTAACGCTCGAGCGTGGGAGCTGTTTTAACAGGACTTCCGCTCGAGCGCCCTATTTAACGCTCGAGCGTATTTTTCATGCAACCAGTACTTTTGCAGGCCTTAAGGGTCCGCTCGAGCGGGTAAGTTGACGCTCGAGCGGGGACCCTGTTTTCTGAAATTTCGTTCATGTATTCTGTGTTCTGTTTTTCGTTCTCTTTCACTTGTAAGCACTCTTAGGCATATGTTAAGCATTGTAAATGAGCAAATGAAATGTGAATTAAGCCTAAAGAGAGATATGTGAATTAAAGAACAGATTGAACTGTTAGTGACCCTTTTTGCTCATGAAATGTGTAGGGTCAAGTTCCAGGGCAAATCCACAAGCCGATCACTGTGAGTAATATCAATACTTGAAAGCTTATCAATGTCCAATTGTGTATTCCCTTATAAGCTTTATGAGTTGCTAATTGGGATTATGGACAAAGGTCTGACATGAATGAATAATTGGACCAAAGGTCGTTTTGATATAAATGAATGGGCCAAAGGCCGTTTTGATATAAATGAATGGGCCAAAGGCCGTTTTGATATAAATGAATGGGCCGAAGGCCGTTTTGACACAGATGAATGGGCCGAAGGCCGTTTTGACATGAATGAATGGGCCGAAGGCCGTTTTGACATGAATAAATGGGCCGAAGGCCGTTTTGACGTAGATGGAAACCAGAATGGGCCAAAGGCCAATATGTCTAGAACTACAGTCACTTGATCTGAACTTTGTATAAATGTACATATGTTAAGTAGGAATATGAATTGGGCCCAAGGCCGTTTGTAGTATATTGTTCTACATATTGTTTATATGACTTTTGTATTTGATATTATTCACTGGGCTATCGCTCACGCTCATTCATGTGTTTGTAGGTGAGCTAAGGGAAGTTCAAACCCAGCCCCAGTGAAGTCTGCTAGGAAAAATCCAAGTTTTGGGGAAGTCAGCCTTGCGTCTCACTCTTGAGACCTATCCTTGCCTCTTTGCCATATATTTTATATTTGGTCTTGTCGGCAAGGACTTTATGTATATCTGTATATAGTCTGTCATAGGTTGACTCGTTTTGGATGATCCTGTCTGTAATGAATTTTGTGAAACTGTACTTTTGATGTGGGTTATTAACGTATCTGAGTATGGTCTGTTGATGTGCATATAAGCACGGCTCTATGGACAAAGTTTTAATTTTTGCTTCCGTTGGGCCCCTTTACTCTGACAAGTCATCTCATTTAGGTCTGAGGCCGTAGGTAATCACAGGATTACTGGCCGATCATGTCCTTAACCCATAGGGGCGGGTTCGGGTCGTGACAACTAAAGCCTAATTTAAAAGAGAGAGATAAAAGCATCTTTTCTCAAATTTTCAATTTTTATCTAGATGCAACAATTTTTGGTGGTACAGGCATAATTTGATTACCATTTACCACAAGGCCATTTAGAATGAAGATGTGTAGCTAAATCATGGACCGGCATGATTTGAAAAGTCATCTTCTCTTAAATTTGCTTTCTATTCTTTGTTGGAGATGGAGCTGCATTGGAAACTATAATGGAATGATCATTGTGCTGTGATGTGAATACCCAGTGGCAGTTTAGATAATAAAAAAATAAAAATAAATAATAAAAAAAAAGGTAGAAGAGAAAGAGGTAAATGTAGGAGAAGATATCCAGGGAAAGAAAATAGTGAAAATTTCGTATCAATGTAAAATTTAAAAAATAATTACAAATAAGTGGTAAAGTTTATAATTATTAATAATTATAATTATCTTTTTAAAATAAATATGTAATTACTTTCTGAAATTACCAATAATTAATAATTATAATTATTATTATTTTAATAAATATGTAATTACTTTCTCAAATTACCACTAATTAGTAATTTTCTCAAAAAAAATACTTTTTGACAATGAGGGATGTATTGCCCTTTCACAACTAATGCATTAATTAAGTCCTGGTCCTTATGTATTTTGTTAAATAATTAATTCAATACTGATGTAATAGACATTTTAACTAATTAAAAAGTGAATTGACTTCAGGTCATAGAGATTGGATTAACCTTCTTCTAAGCTATAAGCAGAACTCTACGGAAATTGTGACAGAACTTGGGAAGTGGCAATCCAAAAAAGGGAGCATTACCTCTGATTTATGTTATCTAACTTTATTTCCTTTGTGTCGCATATTCAAAATTGTTTTAATTCACACATGCATGTAATATTAAAGCATCTTGAGTGCAAGCAATAAGAAATTGATGAATGTGTTGACCCTATAAGACTAGCAAACTAATGGACAAAGTGCCAGTAAAACTAGAAAGAATAAGAACACAAATTCCTGTATTTGTGATATGGTTGTGCATATGGAAAAGAAAAATATTAAATGAAAAACAAGTACACTTTTCTTAGAAAAGGAACCAACAAGTACACATTTTCCTGAAAATAGGGGCATTACATGACACAAATTCTTAGCTGATTATGACAAGAACATAACTGAGTCACATAAAAACATGTTTCTAATGTAGAACATTGACATTCAAATATGTTCAACAATCCAATTGCTGGAAAGGGAAAAAAAATAAAAAACATAAAAAACAGAATCGCCACAATCTGTTTTGCTCCAATATTCAAAAATTGGATTGGTCTTCTAAGTTAAAAAGCAGAACTTCATTATAGAGCTTTCCGTCAATTTTTTTTATCCAACTTCGATTCCTACATGTTGCATCACCAGAATTGTTTTAATTCAAAATCATGGAATGTCAAAAAAAATTCTGAGTGTTTCACTTCCAATTTTTGCAATAAGAGAACTCTATATGACTAGCAAACTAATGTAAAAAGTTACCTATAAAAGTTGAAAGTTGAAGCCAAGAAGGTTACATATTTACTTCAATATCATGGTAAAAGATCATCAACATCTTAGACATTCCCGAATGATTTGCCAATCCTCTATCCTGGACATTTTTGGACATCCAAGATTGATAGTTATTTAAAAGCCATGCAAGAAGACCAAACCATGTGTTCATTGACTAGAAAAAAAATGATTGAGAGTTGGAAAGAATGATGTACAATAGACTAGCAACTTAGTAAAATTAACTTTAACTTCTAAATTAGTGAAATATGAAGTAATATAAAAATTTTAATTTATAAATAAAAAATGAAAGCTTAGGAAAAGGATAAAACTAAAAAATGTAAGAAATCAAGCACTGATGTAACACTGCAGAACATAAGCTTGGCCAAATGCACAAACACAGCACCAAGTAAAATGCACTCACCAGCAAATTTATGCAAACTTGCAGTACTTTTTACCAAAAAAAATAAGAAGGCAGAGGAGGTTTTGGTTTTCATCAATAGTCCTTTAAACAAGTTTCTAACAATGAAGAATTCAACTTGCAGGCATAACAAGCATTGTGCAAACCATTAACCATTACAAGTGTTGAACTTCAAACACAAATAACAAACATATTCATCAAATGAAGAATCATAAATTCCCGAACTATGCAAGTTCCTTTCTGGAAAAAAAAAATCTTTCGGATAATTATATGTGCCTTCCTAATTAAACGATTTGCAAACATAAAATACATCAAGACAGATGTGTCAGTGCTGGCTTTGAGGCAAAGCTGAGGAAGTTTCTGCTTTGGGCCTCCAAAAATTAATTGAAAAAGGGCCTCCGAATGGCAAGGTGTGGTGTTAGGTCATCTGTTTGGTTTGAAAAGTCCCACCTGCTTTGGTGTCTTGTGTGCTTGATGAAGCTTTATAGTTTGGCTTTCAATTTAGACAAAAAAAAAAAAAAAAAAAGAATGTAATTCTTGATTTTTGTATTTTTTTTAAGTAAAAATAAATATTCAATTTGTTTAACGTCATTATTGCTCGAACTTTCAAATCTGAACAAAATCACCATGTTCATATCTGAAACTCTGAACCAAACAATATTATTTGGCATTGTAAGTCCAAACATGGTGACTTTGTTTTTATTTGGATGTACATTGAAGGGTAATTTGGGAAAAATGATTGGGTACTAAGAGTAACATAAAACCCTAGATAATTAAACAGAGTGAACTGAGAAATTGGGAGTACTTAATGATTTTTTAGGTGAAAATAGAATCCCCCATAAAAGGCCCTATGTTTAGAAGCTTTGCTTTGGGCCTAGGAAAAGTTGGAGCTGGCCCTGCGATGTGTTAATGACATTTATGAAATTACGAAGACAATAATGGGTGTTTTGATTTAACATGAAGCAACCACAACAATCCATATTATTATTAATAGAGTGGTGCTATTAGCACCCTATGAATTATTTTGAACCCCCCATTTCTTTAGGCCCCCACTTATAATTTTGAAACCCTCAAAATTTCTTTTTCCCCTCCAAATAATACCAAAATTATCTTTGTGAAAACATTCTACCAATTGAATGCACACCCCCCACACCCCAAAAAAACCCCTCTTCCAAAAAACCCTAACAAAACCCACCAAAAAGATGAAGAGCCAATGTGATTACTATCTCTGCTGCCTCATCCACTATTGTCACAGTTGGTATGCTCTCTATCTATATAGATACATAATTTCTTAGTTTTCTTGTAATAATTTCTTCTCTTACAGGAAAAAAAATTATAATAATTGGTTTGGTTGGTTTTGTTGGTAGATATTATAAAATTATGAGTTCAACAGAGAACTACGCAGCAATATTATCAAAGCTACACGATGAAGGAATAACTTTTAAACTTGATAATAGATTTAGGCTACTTCCGATAACTTCTGCAAGTATTAAAAAATTTGACCATTTAACGTGTTAAGAAATTTCCATGTTCAGGCCTGTATTCCCGAACTTGAAAAAATAAAAACTTCTGCAAGCATTAACAATTTTAACCGTTCAATGTGTTAAGAAATTTTCATGTTTGGACCTGCATCCCCGAATGTTCGGGAATGCCTTCCCGAACAAATAAATAATGTTTTGGCTTGTAATCTTGAACTTGAAAAAATGAAAACTTCTGCAAGCGTTAACAATTTTGACCGTTCAATGTATTAAGAAATTTCTATATTCGAACCTACATTCCCGAACATTACTTATTTGTTCGGGAATGCCTTCCCAAACAAATAAATAATGTTTAGGCCTGTATTCCCGAATTTCAGTCATATGTTCAGGGAGTTCAGTCTTGAAAAAATGACGAATAGATTTTATTATTTTTGCCATTTTTTTTAAAAAACTTACATTTACAATGCCAATCTCCTCTGAACTAAGAACAATATCAAAGTTATGAATCTCCTCTAAGCTTTTATTGTTCTACTCCTCTTGTATTATGGATTTGTGGTTACTAGAAAAACTTCCACTCATTGTCATAGCCAAAAAAGTGTAAGTAGTCAAATGGTTGACACTGTTACCGCCAGAATATTGTCGCCAAAGGGTTTTCAAGGTTTTGAGGGTAGGTAGATTTTGAAGGTGGGATTAGGGGAAGATAGATGAGTGGTTATGGAGATGGGTGCTCTCATAAATCCTAATTCATGATGTAGTGGGTGTGTAGGTTTAATTGTGAGATGGGATGTCCCAAAATTCATGATGTCCTTTTTAGTAATTTTATTTAAGGTTATTATTGTAATAAAAAAAAAAGTTAAAAATTGAAGAATCCAAAATAATTTATGAAGTGCTAATAGAAGCACTCTATTAAGATTATTATTTGTATATCATTACTCAAAACCAACCTTATGATCAATATAGACATACAAAAACACAAAAAGAAAATAGAACTATTAGCTGAATGTGAAAGTACGTACAGTGTGTCAAATGCAGAATCCATTGCTGGACGAAGAGTGAGCTGCTCAAAGATCACTTCACCATCCATGTGTATGACAGGGACACAAGCAATCTTATGCCAGTCCTGCCCTTTCCCCTTGAGGTAATGAGGTTTTAGCATTGGACAGCCAAAGAATTCCAGCATAAAGAGAGAGGTGGGAAGCCCCTCTTCGAGCAAGGATTGGAGCTGAGGGCATTTCTCAATCTTCATGTATTTGAGAGAGCCAAGGAGTTGAAGGCCCCTATTGTTCAACGATTTGAGATTTGGTAGATTTTCAATGCTGAGTGACATAAGAGTCGAGGGCAACAACCCCTCCTCCGGAAAGGACTCCACCCCATCTTCTGGAAAGAACTGCCGCCAATATTCACCTACTAATCTGAAGTGTCTAAGAGAAGGGAGCCTTTGCAAATCCCATTCTCTTCGGCGAGCAGTAAGTTTGCCGCAATTTCGGATTTCAAGTGAATGTAAGCTGGAGGGAAGCCCACCTTCCGGAAAAGACTCAATTTCTGGACAATCATATAATTCTAGTGATTGAAGAGATGGGAAGAGAAAAGTGACTCGAGAGATGTCAAATTTTGGAGCCCAAGCATGTTTAGATCTGTAATACTCTCGAAATTTCTACAACTCTCGATTTCTAGAGATCGAAGCTTTGGAAAGAATCCAAGCAACATGGGTTTGAGAGCATCACAGCGATACAAGTACAAAGTTTCAAGGGATCTGTAGCAGTTCTCCATATCCTCGGATCTGGGGAACACTAGAACTTCACAATACCTGATTGAAAGGCTTGTAAGCCTGGGCGGCAACCCTGTATCTGGGAATGACAATAGGCTTGGACAATTAAATAGCGTGAACTCCTTCAGATTTGTTAAAGTGCACAGCTGGGGTGTCAATTCCTTCAAATTAGGCATATCTAAAATATCTAATTTTGTAAGGGAAGACAAACCTCGACACCCCAATTCTACCCCATCACATCCTTTCAATACTAATTCACTTGTAAGTCTTGAGCATTCCTGAATCTCAAGGCTCACACAAGATGGAATGTGTTTGGGTAAGCCTCCAATCAGCTTTGGACAATTGATTACCTGAAGCACTTTAAGCTTAGAGAACTCTGCAGATTCTAATATATACCAGTCCACCCACTCCAACATTGCTTCAAATCTAAGAGTCTCTAGAGATTGAAATGGTAAAGAACTATCTCCATAGAATTCAAGGCCTACCGTTGTTATTCCTTGCATCCTTGAAATTTCAAGGTCTTTCAAAGAGGGCAACTGACCAAATGGTGGCAAGGAAAAGCAATACTCACAATTGTCAAGAGACAAACGCACTATTTTACAAAATGATTTATCTCCCAACCAATCTGGAAATCTTGTGCCACCAAAGTTTTTAATCTCAAGGCATTTCAAGTTTGTATGAGGTTTTAGCTTGTCGAGAACATCTCTCTCATCCTGTGAATCATTGGTACTGCTACTCCATTCGAGTACCAGTTCTTCAAGGTACATTTTCTCCTCCAATTTTGCCTCCATTGCACCCATGCCATTAGTTACATTTTGCAAACTTGAAATGGAGAGCCTCCTTTGAAGACGACGAAACTCCTTCAACTCTTCAATACCTAACCCCTTGGACTTGCCCACCACAAAGGCAGTTAAAACTTGGAGGCCTTTTAATTGACTCATTTGCTTTGGCATCTCCTGTAAATTAGTCCCAGTAATATCAAGATGGCGCAACTGAATTAGGTTTCGAAGATTTACCGGCAAGGTAGTTAGCTTATCACAATTATACAGCAGTAATGTTTCTAAGTTATACATGGTACAAACTGATTCAGGCAATTGTTTGATTTCCGTGTAAGAAAGATCCAAATACCTTAGATGTAGTAAATTGCCAATTGAAGGAGGCAATTCTATAATATTATACCATTGCAAAGACAACATCCGTAAGCATGTTAGTTTTGGCAAAATATCATCCAAAACCTTTTTGCTCAACCACGAATAAGAATAGACTGCAGGATTTAGTGCTAGAAAAGTCCTTAAAAACTTAGCATCATTAATTAGCTTGAATTTTTCAAAGCCATCAAATTTGCTGCTAACACATGAGAAATGAAGTACCCTTTCAGAAATATGATGTGTGTTGTCATCCTCTAACACATAACAGAAATCTCCAGACACAGCTTGAGCTAAATCATTAACAAGATCATGCATGACAAAACAATATTTATTGGCATTTGATCGTTGAAAAAATGACCTTGATTGCAATTCATTGAAGCACTCATAACCTACCTCTTCCCTCGTTTTTTTACTTCTGGGTTGCTCAACAAAACCTTCAGCCATCCACATTAGGACTAATCTCTCCATTTGAAATTCATAATTTTTAGGAAATATAGAACAATAAGCAAAGCATCTCTTTAAATGCGAAGGGAGGTAATGATAGCTCAATTTTAAGGCTGGAAGAATATTGCTCTTCTCCTTTGGCAAATCCCATATTCCACTTTTCAATATATTATTCCAATCCTCAACATCCCTTTTAGAGCGCAAAAGACCGGCTAATGTTTTTGCTGCTAGAGGCAAACCTTTACACTTTTTCACAATCTCTTTACCAATCCTTTCAAGATTTGGATGTGCACCACAATCTCCCTTGTCAAATGCATGTTTGGCAAACAATTTCCAGCAATCTTCATCCGATAATTGCTGCAAACGATGAATAGGAACTGTTTGCATAATAGACGAAACGCTCTCATTGCGCGTTGTAACAATAATCCTGCTCCCATGTTCTCCATATCCAAAAGGACTCCTCAAGCTATCCCAGTTATCATAGTTCTCATTCCAAACATCGTCTAGAACGATCAGAAATTTCTTCCCACTCAAGCATTCCTTGAGCTTGACTTGAAGCTGATTAAGGTCCTTTTTACTAAGGTCCATCATATCAGAACGCTGCAGAATGACTGCCTCAAGAATTGTTCTTGTAACCCTTACAACATCGAATTCATCAGAGACACAAACCCATGCTTTCATATCAAAGTGATCATCCACTCTGCCATCATTGTATAAAAATTGAGCAAGGGTGGTCTTGCCAACCCCACCCATCCCCACTATCGCAATCACATCTATCTTCTGATTACCACCACTTGCCTCATCTGAGAGCAGCAACTTAATTACATCCTCCTTGTCATTATCCCTTCCAAAAACACCAGATTCATCAACCAAAGAAGTTGTTGGCAATCCGTGATACAATTTTTGCCCAGCAACTTCTCTCAAACCGAGGACATCTTTTTCTTTGGGAAAACATTCTAATCTATCAATGATCTCCTCTATCTTGGACACTATATCTGCATCAAATGAACTAGAAGAAGAAATCAAGGTGGGACTTCGTACCTGGTCTGACCCGCTATGGTACTTGGCTTCAGACTTGCATCGCAAAGCCTCGGTAGCAATCTCATCGAGTAAATCATCTGCATGATACACAGCAACTTTAAGTTCATCCATCCAGTCTTTCACAGCAAGGTTAGTGATCTGCTTGTCCTCTGCATCATCGAGCAGAACATTAAGTCCCCGCAATGTTGACTTGAGCTTCCTGAGGAGTTTATCATCAAGCTTTTGAGCACGGAAAAAGTTGACGAACTCGCGAGAAGCCAAACGGTCAAACAGCACTTGAAGGGTGGCAGAAAGAAATGCTCCTCCAACCAAGGCTGCAACCATGTTGGTTTTTCTTTTAGTTGTAGAGGTAGAACAGAGACTAGGAAAATGAAGGAAATAGATTGTAGTCTTGTAGAGTGAAAGAAGAGAAGCCAAGATTGATTTGCTCTGAGAAAGAAAAAATTATTTGATGAGATCAAAGTCTTTGCCTGCAAGTTGGACAAAGTCTTTGCCTGCAAGTTGCAAATAGTGTTATATGAACATAATTTTTGTCATTGTCAAGTTATTTTGAAATTAAACTCTATATAAAAATTGTGGTGATATATAACTAAATTTATAAATAAAAACCACCACTACGAGTGATAAAAAAAAAACACAACTATAAATCATTAATCAAACATTCCTAATTTAATTAATTGTGATGAGAACTGAAAGTATTTTTGAAAGGAAGGGCCATCTTTGCAATTAGCAAATAAGAAACCAAACTCTACCTATAATAATACAAATTGCAGCCGGCTCTAGTCCCCCTTGGTCCACCGTTGCAAGTAAGTTGTGAATTTGTCCTATTTCTCCCCCACCGAAATAAAGCTATTGAGATGATCTGACAAGGAAACTACCATTCAATATATTCTTTTTTCTTTTTTAAAAAATTTAAGATAAATTACGAATATATTTTTGAGATTTATATAAGATACAAATTATTTTATATGGTTTTGAAAATTACATTTCACTCTTAAAATTTCTAATTTCATAATAAATGGCCCTTTTTACTAATAAATCATCAAGTCAATTAATAGTTTTAATGATGTCAAAAATTTGCTTCAATTAAAAATTCAAATAATTTTATTATTGTATAAAAGAGCAGTTAGAATTTTTTTTTCTTTTTTGTTTATTTTGTTAAATAAAAAATTTCAACAATGAGATGTTTATAATTCTCCAAACTATATAAGCAATTCGTATTTTAAACAAATTTCATAAAATTTATTTATAATTTACCCTAAAATTTAAAATAATTAGTATTTTAGATCATGTTTAAATCTTAGAGTAAAAGAAGAGAAACCTGTAAGAATATCCATAAAGTGGCCCATATGTCACATGTTTATTTTATTTATTTATTTATATTATATATATTTAATTAGTTTAATGGTTAATGAGTAACTAATGTCTGTTCATTATCCCATATGGTGGTTTCATGGGACCTTACTGGGAAGTTATAAGAAGTTACACTTGGATATGGGTTCAAGCCTATCTATATATATATGCATGTGATAGCCATCAAATACAGACGTTGTTTTGTGAGTAGAATAGGCTTAAAACTCTGTTCCTTTCACTTTTCCCATATGGTTCTATAAAAGTGTTCTGTGAGTGGGTTTTGTTTATACATTCAAGATTTGATCATTTAAAGATAAAAATTCAAAGGCTTGAATATCATGGCAGGATGTATTCTTCTTTCTGAATTAAAATTATTTTAATTCTCACAAAACCAAGATTGATTTGCTTCTGGAAAGAAAAAAATTATTTGATAGGATCACATCACCAGTTTTACCAAGACTTTGCTTGCAAGTTGCAACCTTTCTTTTTCTTTGAAATGTAGGAGGGGTGGGAGGGGGAGGGGGGTGCCAATTAAATTATACATATAAAATTTACCACTAAATTAAAATTATTTTATTCGTAGCAAAAATATTGTATGCAAATTATAATAAAAGATACATTATTATAATTGTAAATTTTCTAAAAAAACATCATTAAATTTGTAAATAAATTTCTTAGACAATATTAGAATATATACAAAACAAAAGCAAAAAAACAAACTGTATTATATGGATACTTTTTTTCATATTATAGAACAAGTAGTAGCGCTATACAAAAAGAAAAACTATATAGCAGTAGTGCTATACAAAAAGAAGAGAAACCAAGGTTGATTTGCTCCGGGAAAGAAAAAAAATTGTTTGATGGGATCACATCACCAGTTGCACCAAGACTTTGCCTGCAAGTTGCAACCTTTCTTTTTCTTTGAAACGCAAGAATTGGAAAGATGGAGAGGGGAGGGGAATGGGGGTGCAAATTAAATTTTATATTTAAAATTGATCACTAAATTAAAATTATTTTTTTCAGAGAAAAAATATTGTATGTAAATTATAATAAAAGATATATTATTATAATTATAAACTTTGTAAAAGACATCATTAAATTTGCAAATAAATTTTTCAGGCAATATTAGAATATGTACAAAACAAAAACAAAAACAAAAACAAAAAAGCACTTTTTGTTTTTAGTACAAAACATCTTTTTAGTACAATAATATGTACAAACCAAACATCTTTTTAGTCGCCCAATGCCTCATTTTTGGCTACTAAATTTTTTTTCGTCGCCAAAAAGCCTTACTTTTGGCTACCAAAATTTTTTTAGTCGGTAAAAGCCATATATCGGCGACCAAACAGATTTTTTGTCGCCAAAACCTATACTTTTGGCTACTAAATTTTTTTAGTCGCCAAAATTTTTTATTTTTAGCTACTAATGCTTTTTAGTTGCCAAAACCTATACTTTCAGCGACCAAAGGTGCTTTTTTAGTCGCTAAAGATGTTTTTTCTTGTAGTGAGCAAATAGTATTATATGGATACTTTTTATATTATAGAACAAGTAATAGTGCTATATAAATAGAAAAATTATATAGTAATAGTGCTATACAAACCGAACAAATAGTGTTATATGAACATAATTTTTGTCATTGTTACATTATTTTGAAATTAAATTTTATATAAAAACTGTGGTGATATATAACTAAATTTATAAATAAAAACAATCACTATGAGTAATAATCAAACACAACTATAAATTATTAACTAAACTTTTTAATTTAATTAATTGTGGTGAGAACTTAAAGTATTTTTTGAAGGAGGGGTCAACTTTGCAATTAGCAAAGAAGAAACCACACACTACCTATAATAATACAAATTGTTCAGACTCTGCCACAGCCCCTTTCTAGTCCCCCTTGTCCACCGTTGCAAGTAGTCTGTGCCCATTTGATAGAGGTATGAGAAAGTGATTATAAATTATAATTTAATAGATTATAAATTATATCTTTAAACATAAGCTGTTAACTTATTTGGTGCAGCTGTGAAATTATGAATTTAAGCAGCAGAGTAGTGTTTGGTTAATAGGCTGTAAAATACTTTTTTGCTGTGTAATTGTCATTTTTACCCTTATATAATATAAAAATTATTATTTTTTCATTCTTTTCAGTTTTAATTTGAAAAAAAATATTTCATTAATAAAAGTTAATATAATTAGTATTACAGAAATTATTATTTCCATTTTTTCATTATAAATTAATTAGTATAAAATTATTTTCATTTTTTCATTATAAATTATTATTTTCATTTTTCAATTAGTATAAAATTATTTCATTATAAATTAATTAGTGCCAATTAATGGCTTATTTTCATTTTTTCATTATAAATTATTATTTTCATTTTTCAATTAGTATAAAATTATTTCATTATAAACTAATTAGTGTCAATTAATGGTTTATTTTCATTTTTTTTCATTATAGGTTATTATTTTCATTTTTTCATTATAAATTAATTGGTATAAAATTATATTATTTTTTCATTATAAATTAATTAGTGTCAATTAATGGCTTATTTTCATTTTTTCATTATAGATTATTATTTCCATTTTTTCATTATAAATTAATCAGTATAAAATTATGTTATTTTTTCATTATAAATTAATTAGTGTCAATTAATGGCTTATTTTCATTTTTTCATTATAGATTATTATTTCCATTTTTTCATTATAAATTAATCAGTATAAAATTATATTATTTTTTCATTATAAATTAATTAGTGTCAATTAATGGCTTATTTTCATTTTTTCATTATAGATTATTATTTCCATTTTTTCATTATAAATTAATTAGTATAAAATTATATCATTTTTTCATTATAAATTAATTAGTGTCAATTAATGGCTTATTTTCATTTTTTCATTATGGTGGTGTTTGGTAGCACTTAATTTCAGCTTAAATCAGCTTTTGGCTTAAAATAAGCCATTTTGGAGTATTTGGTTGAGCTTATAAGAGATAGATTATAGCTTAAATTAATTGATTTTGAGCTAAAAGTTGTAAGTTGCCTTAGAGGTGTTTTTTTGTTTTTAGCTTAAGCGCGCTGTTGGGTGTGGAAGGGAAAAATGACTTAAATGCCCCTTCAAAAATTGAAAAATCACCAAAATACCAATATATAAACTTGAAAATCAAACAATGTTCACATCCGGAGAAAGAGAGAGAGCGTGAGGCGATTTCCGGTGGCTTGAGAGGCGATTTTCGGCGACGATTTCTAGCTAAGGTTTCGAGCTACTCTCTCTCTCTCTCTCTCTCTCTCTCTCTCTCTCTCTCGCATTGGTTCGTCGCTTTGTTCTCTCTCTGTCTCTCTTTCTTTGGCATTGGTTCATCGCGAAGCCTTGGTTCGTCACCATCGTGATCGTGAAGCTCTGTCTATCTCTCTCTCTCTCTCTTCGGCGTTGGTTCGTCGCCATCGCGACCTAAACCAACGCCATCGTCGCGATTTATGTTGGTCTCTATCTCTGTGTGTGCCTCCATCGTCGTCCCCCATCCCCTATCCCTCATCGCGATCGGCTGTGAGAGGCGATTTCAGACCCTAGCGTCGATTCGTCACCGCTGTGCTGTCGGAGCTAGGCTTTTCAGCTTTTTTTTTTCTTTTTTTTTTGGGGAGTTTTTCACTGTTTTTTAATCAAAAAAAAAAACAATAATAATTAAGCATTTTAGCCATGAATGAAATAAATTTATATTGAAAAAATGAAAAAAATTTATACTAATTAATTTATAATGAAAAAATGAAATAATTTTATACTACATGATTTATAATGAAATAATTTTATAATAATTGATTTATTATGAAAAAATGAAAATAATAATCTATATGTGAATTTGTCTCACTTCTACCCACTGAAATAAAGCTATCAAGATGATCTGACCAGGAAACTACCATTCAATATTTTTTTTAATAAAAAAATTAGGAAAAATTATGAATACATCTTTTGAGATTTATTTAAAATACTAATTATTTTGTATGATTCTGAAAATTGTATCTTATCCTTTAAAACTTCTAATTTCATAATAAATGGTTCTTTTAATTAATAAATTATCAAGTCAATTAATAGTTTTAATGATGTCAAAAATTTGGTTCAATTAAAA